TTAAATAACCCAGCACTTAATATATGTGCACTAAATCACATTAATGATGTAGTTTGATTGACGTGAGAATTGTAGTTTTCTTTTACCTGTGGTATACAGTACTGTTGAACTGAGGATATTAAAAGGTTTGTTTGTGACAAATATTAGTCACATTCCAGCTGTGGCTGTCAATGCTGAGTATGAGGGGTAATCTAAAAGGATAATGTAAAGCACTTTGAGACAATGTGATGTTGTGAAAATGCACTATACAAATAAAATCGAATTGAATTGACGTTAATATGCTTTTTAAGAATGTAAGCATGTAATCAAGCCTATTAACATACTGTATAGAGCAGTTGTGGTTCAACTTTGCTATCAGCTTCAGTTGTGACCAAATGAGGCAGCAAACAATCTGTCCTCTCCTTCAGCTGCTCTTTGACTGATGCTTTTTGTTCTCTTAATAAACCCAACCCTCAGTCAGACTTATGGAGAGCTGCACGCAGCAAAGAGGAGAATGCTGTGTCTCATCCGAAACTCCCTCAACGTCACCAAAATGAATCACTATTGCTGCACTAATTTTCCAGAGTCATGATAAAGAGTTATTTAATTTATTTTATTTATTAAGGACGTATTTATTGGTTGACGAGCAGCAATGGGCACAAATACATCAAAAAGTGTCTTATGAATGACAAATACAGTACTTGATCATCAAATGTAACAAAATAAAATATATTTATTAATTAATATATTTACAAATACTGGTTTATTTAATTAAAATACAAGCAATTTGTAATTTGAAAATGCAACAATACATGAAAATAGTAGTAAAAATGGTGACACTGGCAAGTTTGATGCCATTCTGTCTGGAATGTTTTTTTTTTAAAATTTTTGTAAACCATTCTTGCTGTTTAGCATAATCTTTCACCAGTCGGTTCACCTATACGAAGTCGACTCCGTGGCTATAAAAACACCCACATTTAGCTGTTGGAAATTAATTTCGTCCTTAGGAATAAAAGTACCTAATCTGATTTATTGCTAATGAAGCCTTCCATATATGACAATTCACAAGACGCCACTGCTTGAACATGCCTGTTGGAATTGACTAAAATGCCACTTGCAGGCTAGCAAGTTAATTCACGAGTTCTAGAGCACAGCAATGCTGTTTGATAATTGCTGTTTTTCTGTCCTATAATGGCATGCAGTGAACAATATCTGATAGTATGTTTTACTACATATGTGACCGTATGGCAGTTTACACCAAGCACCAAAGCAGCTTCTTTTTTCCAGGCATTACTGGTCATGGAAAAATGAAGTTCTCAATGAGTAAGCTGGACCCAACAGGAGTTGTCCCATGATGTACTTGCACCTAGTCAAAGACAGTGACAGGCTGGTGATGAAGGTTCTAAAAATTCAATTCAATTCAATTCAATTCAATTCCATTCCATTCAGTTCAATTCAATTTGTATAGCGCATTTTCATCACATTACATTGTCTCAAGGCGCTTTACATTATCCCCGCCCAATGTCCCCAGTGAGTAAGCCAGAGGCTACAGTGGCAAGGAAAAACTCCCTAGAAGGAAGAAACCTTGGGAGGAACCAGACTGAAAGGGGGAGCCCATCCTCCAGGGGCCGGCAGAGGAAGTCAAATGAGCAAGGTGACAAAGTCTCAATTCACACTGTCCCAATTTTAAGATTTAAGTGTCGAAGCGTAGGCCAGGCAGGTGATGGGAGGCAAACAAACAAACATACAGACAAACAAACAAATAAATAACACAATGCTGTATTAAGGATTTTAAATACTTGGTGGCATGGTGGTGCAGTGGTTTGCACTGTTGCCTCACATCTTTGGGACGTAGTTGGAGTCTCTGACATGGCTCCATGTGTGTGGAGTTTGCATGTTCTCCCCGTGTCATCGTGGGATTTCCTCCGGGTACTCTGGTTTCCCCTCCTCAGTCCAAACACATGCTGAGGCTAGTCAGAGTTACATTACCAAACTGTCTGTAAGTGTGACTGGGCGAGTGTGTCCTATGAGGGGTTGGTGCCCCATCCTTGCTCCCTGCCTTGCACCTGCAGCCTCTGGGATGGCCTCCAGACCCCTGCAACCCTGAAGTTTTTTGTCCAGCAAAATACAAATTAGAAAATACTTAGAAGTATTTAAATACATATTTTAAATACCTTTCATTGAAATACTGCCCATCTCTGACACTAGGACAGTTCAAACATTTTTATTTTTTTTTTAAATCAAGGGAGTCCACGGGATTAATCATTTAATCATTTTAAACACTGTGGTGTTCCAGTGCTATGTCCAGTGCAGGAAATTTTCAGCTGAATGTCAAAGCTTCATTTTTAGAGTTTCAGTTTTAAAACCTCTTCTGATCCATTCCCCATCCATCTGCCAGAAGTAGGAACTTGCACCTCCATTCCTCTCTGGAGCCATTAGAGGAGTTTTTAGCAGGGCCAACCTGACCACGGCTAGCCTTAACGAGCACATGTTCTGCTGCGTTTGGCTGGAGGCCATCTTGTCACTTTCCACGTTCACCTACTATTGTCTTCAGAGTGGCACACGGCCCTCATACTAACTGCTAAGTCTCTTCAGTTCAAGAATTCTAGCTCCTGTCCTAGGGCAAGAAGAAATTACCCTCTACCGCTTCATCCATCCTTTTGTGAAAACAATGCTTTATGTTAATGTTGAGTGAGAAGAACAAAAACAAACAGAAATCTTACAAAAAATATATATAAATTGAGATGGCATAATATTTACCAGCTCAGACCTGGGTGTGGATGTTCAGTATCGCAGTTACCTATTCAGCTTCCATTAGCAAAGTGAAAATATTAACAGCAATAAACACCTTATATGAGATCACAACATGCCATGTACATAAATACACACAGACACATGCACACATACACACACACGCACACATACATACACACAGCCTATGGGTTCAAGAGAGGCTTTCTCATTTCGATTATCTTTCTCCTCTGTGCATTGCGGTGAAATTACAACTTCTAAAACCTGTGTGAAAAAATGTGTGATGTTCATGAACATGTATTTTCTGGCTCTTTATTATTTATTTTTAGGAATACTTTTGAACTAGCAAATCCAGAGGGGCAGCATTTTGGATTTAATCTCACTTTTGCTTTCCTTTTGGCCAAATCTTGTCAGTGTTACTCTTCTCTTTCGCACATACAAGTTCTCCCCCATGAATAGTTACCATCTTAGAAATATTCTATGTGCAGTGAACAAAAAAGAGGCCTAAGCTATCACTGAGAGATGGAACTGACCTCAGAAAGGGGGGAACCAGCAGATATAATTACTGAACCCAGTGAAGCATGACAACACTTTCTTTCCCACAGTGGCATGTCAAACAGAATCATAAAACATGGACAAACAGGTGGACCCATCTTACGTATCACAATGTACAAAAATGACACAATGTAAATCTTTGTGTTATTACTGCACGTATAATTAGCAAATTCATATTGGTGTTAGAAGTACATATGCATGCATATTACTCATTTGGTGAATGCATACTGTCAGGGCCCTGTCTTCAGGAGCCACAATCCACTGCCACTCCGGCTGACTGACAGGTGGCCACGCTTCTCCTTCGGCGCCTTGGACAGGAGCCACTTCTCAAAATTGCGCCACTCATGCTGTGGACCAAGAATCAAGCACCCTGCACCAAGCCACGTCCTTACATTAACCTACCCGGGGATCACTAATTGGCCCAGCTGGCTACACTTTCCTGGTGGCTTGAAGAATAACAAAAGGCGCAGATCAGGCAGTGCAGTGGAGGACAGTGCCAGACTGCTGCCTAAACCCCGGCTGTAGCAGCACTAAGCCAAATAGGCCCCCATAACAGTTGGTTTCCCTAAATTAACCAGCACTTAGCTCTTTATCCTTCCACAGACCTTCCTGATGTCATTTTCTTTCTCCCCCAGACAACTGAGAACAAGTAGAGGCACACACACAGCCCCACCCCTTGGTCCCCTCCCGCAACCTAACCCCCCCACTGTGTTTCTGCAACTGGGAGAGTGCTTCATAACAAACCTCACCTTGTTGGAGCTCTCAGCCCTGACAAGGCTATCACCTGTGAGCTTCTGTGCTCGCATCCGCAGCCAATGTATACGTATGCATGAAGTTTAGCGAAAAAGGGTCTTAGATCTCCATGACAAAAACAAAACAATTCATTATTCTAATCACTGCACTGCTACCTGGAGCTTGAACCCCATCCATCCTTCCATCCATCGATCTATCTTCTACCCGCTAATCCTAGTCAGCAGCATAGTGAACTCAAGTTAAACCTGTTTAACCTATTTAAATACCGGTATTATGTACTAAGCTATTAAAAGCTAGATGAGCCAGATGAGGTGCATTAAGTATTTATAAATAATTAGTAACAAATTCATTTAAGTTAAAACATGTTTACATTGTATTTTTTATTGCTGAATGCATTGTGACTTCCAAAAAAGAACATCTTCTGAGTTTATTGATACACCTACACTAAACTTTAGATAAGAATCAGTTCTTTTCTGCAAGAGGCTTTTTGAATCATGACCACTGCCTGATGCATTTACCCAGAATCAATAACACTTCATGCAAATGGTAAGGAAAAACATGTTTTTGGAGGGCACTAACAATATAGCCAATCCAAAGTGCCACTTTCTTGCTGAAAATATATATGCTCTTTGAAATAAACCATTTTCATGTTCTAGGGGAAAAAAATGAAAACTATAGCCAATAGTTACCCCAACCCAATTTTAAAGGCTGCATGAGGAACAAGCAACAAAGAGTTAAATAAATGACAGTAAATTATAGTCATGTGTTAATAAACTATAAAAGTTAAAATATTATTTTAAATGTAGACCCTGAACACGAAGGAATTTGCTAATACAACCCAGCTGAAATAAACCTCAATATCTAGAACAAAACAGAATAGGACAGAAAGGACAAACCCTGACATTGTGAGCATTTTTAGGAGATCCAAGCTACAGTATGAATGAGAGAGTCTTTGAACTCACCAGAGCTATTGAAGAAGAAACACTGCTGGAAGAAAGAAAGATGGAGATTGAGAGATCAGAAGATTTTAAGAATTGCATCATCGTGCAGTCTTGCAAGCATAATATTCCATAAGAGCCTGTGGACTGCAAGCAACCATGCAACTTAGCTGAATGATGCTTGTGCACAATCCATTATTCCAGCAACTTGCAACCACATATCAAGTTCAGGGTCATGGAGTCTATCACAGGTAGCCTTGGGCCATGACAGGGAACACACTGGATGGAATAGCAGGCCGACACATGTCACATGCATGACTGCACAATTTAGAAAGACCAGTTAACCTATCTGCCTGTCTTTAAACTCCAGGAGGAAGTCAGAGAACCCAGAGGAAACCTGCCTACCAAGGGAAGAACATGCAATCTCCAGATACATGGAGCTGGGTACACCCTTTCGTCTGTGTACTCCTTTATAAACGTGTCATATAAAACCACAATATGTATTACAACAACATAACATTCTCAGGACCAAATACCATTCTCACAAATAAAAAGTCATAAAAAGTCATAGTAAACTATTTTGGGGTTTTTTTTTTTGCTGGTAAACTGTTACAGATGAAACATACCGCTGAGATGACGACGGAGCCCTATCAGATAACTCTCGAGAAATGCAGACTTCACATTCTGGTCTGTACTTTCCCGTCATATCCGTATATGGACATTTTTGGGACACTATTACATATATTTTTTCACAAATAGTCATACCATATTTTTTTGGTAAATTATTACAGATGACAAGTATTGAGGCATATCTAAAAGATTGAGTCACAACTGCATCAAATAATATACTAAAAAAAAAACTAAAAAGTGATGTCTTGGGTCGCTATGCTTCTAAGGGTTAATAAATCCAGACGCATATACTGTTGTAAAGTCAAGGAAATGCCATATGGTTGGTGCTTATTGTATTTAGGGATTAAGGGAAAAAATAAAAATGGAATGGTTTGTATCCTTTTGTATGCTTTTATGTCTAAAATAATTTTTAGAATTCTGCATGTGCAGAGATGTGTCACATGCTACATGGAAGACATCATCTGGTTATGTGTAAGGAAAGTGCTGAGATGTTGTGAAAGCCCTCAGTGTCCCTATTGTCATTCTCCGACATGTGAGCGTGAGGCCAGACTGCCAGGACTCAGTTTTATTTCAGACTGATAAGATGTGGACACAGTGCCCTGCACAGCGGAGTATTGTGGATGTGTTTGCTTTATAAATGTTCCCAAAGAAACTTCATTCATGAAAGGTGCTTTAAAACCTTATAGCTACCAGAATGGAGATAGAAGGTGTTTAGCTTGTACACATCTGACCCATACGCTGTAAATGTCAAGGTTGTGGCGAAAAGGCCTGGATGGCTTAGTGAAGAGGCGTAAGACCTAGGGATTTCGCTGCAGAACTGAGTTTCATTTGATATTTCATTTTTGGGATTGGACAGGAACATTTGAGGGATTGTAATATATAAATAATAGGGAATATTATATACAGTGGCACCTCAGTTTTTGAACTCATTAGAACTCGAATTTCTTAAAAGTCGAACCAACCAGTTCGAAAAAAAATTACCTAGAACTCGATCTGAATCTCAGAAGTCGAACCGTGAATGCCGACCTAACATAACTTGTATGCACGGGGAAATAAGTCACGCGGCACGTCTCAGCAGAAACAAAAGGTAACGCTTCAGTCTCAGCCTCGCCTTCGCTGTGATGGCATCATTTGTTGTATCAGGTAATACACTGTACTTCATATTTTGTGCTATATATTTTGGTAGCCATTGCTCACTAAAAAGTTACGCAATAGTCGTACAAATGTTACAACCTAAAAGTTTGCGATTTACGAACAAATTAACGAATACAGAGTAATAATAAAAATAAACAATGGACCGCATAGTCTAGTGTTGCCGCAGTGTTGGGGCATGGCTTGGGGTTGTCACGGTCTACCGAGCCGGGACTGGGGAAGCAGGGATATGACTCAAGCGATCGGGAAACACGGGGTTTAATTGAGAACAGGCAGAACAACACAATGACGTTACAATGACTGGACTGGGGAAACAAACTGAAACACGGACTAAATACAGAGGACTAATGACAACAACCAGAAACAGCTGATCACACGGGGATTCCACACGAGGTTAACGAGGGGGCGTGGCACACGCAAGAAGTGGACGATCGGGGCAGGACAGGGGTAGTGTTGGGGTACATTCTTTATCATTTTGGAAGCCACTAAGAAAAAAATTCTCTTCTTGTTTTATCCTGTTCATTTTGTGTTTAAATGCTAAAAAAACACATTTAGGTGTAGTTCTTTGGTTTTCCATTATTACATATGGGGAAGATTCGATCAGAACTCGAACTTTTTAGGATTCGAACCCAAGTTCTGAGCGGATTAAGTTCGAGTTCTGAGGTGCCACTGTATATACAAATTATTATCACACAATAATAAACACAAACACGGGAACCAGAAATAACTGTGGTCATGTGACTCTCTGTCTGTCTGTCTGTCTCTGTCTGTTTCTCTCTCTGTCTCTCTCTCACTCTCATGATGTAGCACATAACAGTAATTAAGATGCTGAAAGCCTGTATGGCTGCCATGAAGGTATCTGGGTAATATATCCATCAGGCAATGAAGAAAATGAGATGTGAACTTGAGCAATGATAGGACTGCAAAATTATTCTTGATGTGGGCAGACTAGAATTAGCAGAAAGTGCCTGTCAAAGTTGAGGGGCTAACATAAACAGAGAACATTTGATTGGGTGTCTTATGAACAGTTATCAATATCTACCACAAGTGACACTGTAAACATGCACGTCGGCCTGATGAAAACAAGCAAGTTTCAGAACAGCTACATGCATTCATATTAATGGAGTCACTAGCTACTGATAGTGGTGAGACTGAAATCTTAGTGGAAACTGAATTTGAAGGATAAATCTTTTATGAGGAAGGATGCTAGGGAAAACAGTCACTATAGCTAGATGACAGATTAGAATTTCCAGATAAATTCCAGCACAAAGAATGAAGCATTAAATACAAAGATAAAGAGAAATATACTCCTGGACTAAAGGTATGATAAAATGATAGATTTTTACTAGAAATAATACCCAAAATAAAACAACGTTTGCCTCATCATGACATTTGTAGTAAATTTAACCAATGGGTATTTTTCAGATATCCTTAGCTGATATGGATATAGATGCTATCAGATACCTTTGGTTGACAGGCCTGCCAACTCAAAATGATGAATTGAGAAACCAGGTCTTGAGAATGACCTGGGTTTTGTATTCTTACAAAGCCAGTTTCTGCTGGATGGTAGCAGCAGATACCATCGGAGAGCATACAAGCCAAGGAACTGCAGATATTAAAGATGATATGGGAATCGTTTTATGTGGGATAGTTCACTCACGCAGAGAAACCTACTACATCATGATATGCGTATGGAAGATTCTATTTGCTGCAGATATGAACTGTTTGCTGGATGGCTAATTCTCTTGATTTTAACATTTTTGCATTAACTACACAATAGATCGAATAGGCTGATACATTAATGAGATCCCGGCTCTAGCCTTACTGTACCATCAGTGACATCGCCAACTCTACACCAAATACACACATTGTGTACCTAAGCAGTAGCACAAGATGGCCACAGTTGCAAAGTGAGCTTATTATAATCGACTTTGGGCTTGTTTTTCTGTAAAATGGCAGCTGGACACTGGCGAACTTGGCCCGTGGAATCCTACAGCCCATGAAAACCATAACCAAAACCATTTACTTTCAAATTATTTCGAGTTTAAATTTTGAAATATTAGGCTATAAGCGAAACATTACGACTTGATTCTCTTAATCGATCTAAAAACAGAAAGAAAGCGTGTTTATAATTCAACTTGACTCATATGCTAATATTAATAAAGACAAAATGATGCCCAACCTGCTTTAGATGCTTAAAATTTATTTTTAACTGACCCGCCCAGAATATCTACAATATTTTCCTTTGACTCATAATCACGGAGCCATCAGGTCACTGGTGTGCGAACTATGAATGAGAACCAAGTTATATCATACCATAAATCAATCTGTTTTAAAGGAAAGAAAAAACACAAATTATTGTGTTGATATTTTGAATGAGATCGCTTGGCTTAAATTCCCTGATAAAATGTGACAGAGTGGGCACAGCTGAGGGTAAGAGTTGCTACCATATATGACACAAGAATGACATTAGTGGTATTTCAAAAATACCACACCGGGTAGCAGCATCCAGCATCAGTTTGAAATATAGTCGTTACATAGCTGGGACATCGCACCTTAGGCATAGGGATTTCAGGGAGGTGGAAGTATGTCAAGCAGGAGGTGGACAGATTTCCGAGACGATGCACATCATTTGCGAGTGTCAATTTCCAGGGGACTTCCAGGAGAGGTGGGATGTCTGCATAGATCCACAAATACTTAGGGTGTGTTCTGAAAATGTGTGCATATCTTCAAGGTGAGACAGGACAGGGGATAGAGAGTTACGACTAGCCTGAAAGCATATTTACTATATATAGAGATACAGTAATTGATACATCAATAGGGGCAAGGCTAGAGAACAGTCTGTTGAAGTCTCTGGGATGTGAACAGAACTTCCTCTGTCCTGCATTGCATCTGTAGGCTTGCAATACATCTGGAGTTAGAGTGGGAAAAAAATCTTCAGATCTCCAAACAAAATTAACTTGGGAAGTTCTAGTAAAATGTATTTTTCTCAGGCTAATTAGATATGGAAGATGAGTTCCCTCTTAAAAAAAAGTTTACGCTAAATTGAAGTAAAAATTTCAGGTCACTGCACAGCACTGCAGCAGAAACAGGCATTCAGCTTATCCCCTGCTACAACTGGTGTGATACAGGAAATAGAAAAGTCTGTTTAGCTTCACAACCTACTCTACTGAAATGCATGCAATGCCAACATACAATTAAAGCTT